AGCCACGAAACGTGTGAGGGGTGTGCCGAAATGTGTGTGGGTGACGCATGCGGCCGCGGGCACTGGGGCCTTCGGTGGAGCTCCCTATGGAGCCTCGAAACGTGTGAGGGGTGTGCCGACATGGGCGTGGGTGACGCATGCGGGCGCGGGCACTGGGGCCTTCGGTGGAGCTCCCTATGGAGCCACGAAACGTGTGAGGGGTGTGCCAGAATGGGTGTGGGTGACGCATGCGGGCGCGGGCACTGGGGCCTTCGGTGGAGCTCCCTATGGAGCCACGAAACGTGTGAGGGGTGTGCCGAAATGGGTGTGGGTGACGCATGCGGGCGCGGGCACTGGGGCCTTCGGTGGAGCTCCCTATGGAGCCACGAAGCGTGTGAGGGGTGTGCCGAAATGGGTGTGGGTGACGCATGCGGGCGCGGGCACTGGGGCCTTCGGTGGAGCTCCCTATGGGGCCACGAAACGGTGTACTGGGTGGGTGAAGAGGAGAGGAGGAGAGGAGAGGAGGAGAGGAGAGGAGAGGAGAGAAGAGGAGAGGAGAGGAGAGGAGAGGAATGATGATGATAATGATGATGATGATGATGATGATGATGATGACGATGATGATGATGATGATGATGATGATGATGATGATGATGATGATGATGATGATGATGATGATGATGATGATGATGATGATGACGATGAGGATGATAGGAGGGGAGAGGAGGCGGAGGAGGAGAGGAGGAAGGAGACGCGGGGCACCGTCTCTTCAAAACGAGGACCCAACACCACAGGATGGTTGGGAAAAAAACATATGTATATATATATATACACATTCACACACATATATATATATATATTATCTGCAGGGCGAGAGCGAACCTCTTCCGCTGCAGGCTAAGCGGGGCCTCACGCGGCCAGGAGAGGGCGGAGGGGAAAAAACGCGCAGACACAATGGATCGTCGATTCCCCCGGAAACGTGGAAAAAGATGGGAGGTGGGGGGAAGACAAAGTCCCAGGAAATATGGGAAAGTATGGCGAATCCTTGTATTTGTGTCTATTCATTTGTGTGTCCCAGGGCCCCTTCAAACGACCCGTTCTACTCTTGTTCGCGGTGCGAGGGCTCCAGGGCTCTGGGGTCAAAAGCAGACCCCCTGGAACTCTTCCGGGGTGCGTCCTGTCCAGAACCCCGAAACGGATCCAGCTGCGTCGACGAGAAGCACCCCCAGAGCCCCAGAAGAGGCGAAAAGATTGTACATCCGCCTAGGTCATTGCTGTTTGTCTGCGACCCCAGGGCTCCTGAGCCCTTCCCTCGGGGTGGTTTGTCGTCACAGATACATGTTTGATGGTCCCAGGGCCCGTCAATGCGCCATTGAGGCCGACATCGATGGAAAACGCCCAGATTGAACAAATCAGATTGTCGGAGACATGGGAACGTCCAAGCCCCGCCAGCGCGGCCCCGCTTTGTGGTGTTCGGGCCGTAACTCGGCTCTCCCGCGGCCGCTCGCGACCTGAACGCCCCCAGAACGCTCTCGGCGAGGCGCAGCGGTTGGAAGGCACACGGGAGCAGGAAAACCCCCCAGGAGTTCACGAAAATGTCAGACAGCCTCAAACTTCGCGCCTCGATCCTGGAGGCGGCCTGGGGGTCTGAGCTGGCTGGTCTCCGAGAAAAATCGGCCAAGGGGTGGATGAAGGCAGATGCGCGCAAAATCAGACCCCGGACCCCCCCCCCGCGGGGCTCCATCTGGTGTGGCGCTTCACCCCGGATCCGTTTTCGACGGCCTGGGGGCCCGGAAGCAGCCTTTGGGAGGCCGACAGGGTTTCTGAAGAAAATGCTCGAACCCAGCACCTCGAACCTCGCCCTCCCTTCCTGCTCGCCCCAACCGGCTCCAACCCCAATCCTCGATCCTGCAACGTGCCGACGTCCACGCCCCGCCGGCGCAGCCGCGGCCCCGCCGCCAGGCCCGCGCCCGGGCCCGCTGCGCCCGCGGGGCCAGGCGACGGCGCCGCGCGCCTGCGCGGGCCGCGGCGCCGCGGGCGGAGCGCCGAGGCCGCGCCGACGACGCCGCCATCAACGGCGACGACGGCGCCGACGAGGGCGGCGACGACGACAACGGCAGTGGCCGTCGTCGGGGGTGGCGACCACGGCGACGACGATGAGCGACGGCGACGGCGCTGGCGAGGGCGGCGACGACGAGGGCGGCGACGACGACGGCCACTGCCTGCGACGGCATTGAGGGCGACGGAGTAGCGACCATGGCGATGGCGACGACCGACGACGACGACGGCAACGACGACGACGCCGGCGGCGACGATGACGACCACTGCCTGCGACGGTATTGACGGCGACGAGGGTGGCGACGACGGCGACGGCGACGATGACGAGCGACGGCGACGACGACGGCGACGGACACTGCTTGCGACGGCACTGACGGCGACAAGGGTGGCGACGACGGCGAGCGACGACGGCGACGACGACGACAACGACGACGACGACGACGACGACGACGACGGACGACCGACGACCGACGACCGACGACCGACGACCGACGACCGACGACCGACGACGACGACGACGACGATGACGACAACGACGACGACGACGACGACGACGACGACGACGACGACGACGACGACAACGGCGGCGACGGCGGCGAAGGCGACGGCGAGGAGCGACGGCGACAGCGGCGACGGCGACAGTGGCAGCGACGGCGACGTCGACGGCGACGCCGACGAACAGGACGGGGATCAGCAGCAGCATAAGCAGCGCCAGCGCCAGCAGAGCATTCTGTCTACTAGGGATTGAGGGGCAAGAGGAGGAGGAGGAGGAGGAGGAGGAGGAGGAGGAGGAGAAGGAGGAGAAGGAGGACGAGGATGAGGACGAGGACGAGGAGGAGGAAGAGGAGGAGGAGGAGGAAGAGGAGGAGGAGGAAGAAGAGGAGGAGGAGGAGGAGGGGGAACAGGAGGAGGAGGAAGAGTAGAAGGAGGAGGAGGAGGAGGAGGAGGAGGAGGAAGAGTAGAAGGAGGAGGGGGAGGAGGACCCCCACGGGAGCCTCGACGCGAGCTACCACAGCCACCGGCAGAGCTACCAGGGCCACCAGGCGACCTTCGGACCACAAGCTGAATTACACGGACCACAGGCACAGCCACGAGAGCCACCAGAAGAGCTTCAAGACCCACCCACCTGCCGAGCTACGAAGACCACGAGCTGAGCTACGAGTGCCACAGGCAGGGACACGCAGCCCACCGGCCGAGCCACGAGTGCCACCAGCTCAGACACGAGGGTCACCAGCTGAGCTCCGAGGACTGCTAGGTGAGCTGCCGGAGCCGCCAGCTCAGCTACGAGGGCCACGAGCAAAGCCTCGAGAGCCATCGGCAGAGCCACGAGGTCCACCTGGAAAGCTACGGGGGCCACAGCCTGAGCTCCGAGGGCGGGCGGGGCGGTCCGCGGCTGCGAGATCCCGGGGGCGCCCAGCGGAGGACCGGGACGTCGTGAGACAGCCACGGCAAAGGACGCCGACAAGTTGTGCAAACGCCCCCGCGGGCTGACCCATTGGGAACCCTTTGTTGGCGAGACACTTGGCGACTGCTCCAATCGGCTTCAACGCGAGGCGTGGTTGGCACGCGTTCTGCACGGCGCAAGACAAGGGCAGGCGGCGCGCCATTTCGACCCCCTGGGAGGCGGTCAGCTGCCCGATGCTCGGTCTTCCTCCGATGGCTCGCGGCCGCCGCGGCGTTGCCGCGGCACCAGCACAAGGAACGGTCCACGGGCCCAGCCGGGGACCTTTGACCCTGGACGCGGCCGCCGCGCTCCTGGCCCCAGAACTGGGCGCTTTAAGGGTTGCGTGACCCTGGTCTTCTCCCGCACTGTCTGGGTTTTTCGCCCTTTCGGTTACCTGGTTGCAGAGTCTTCCTGGTGCTGTTCGGCATGGGAGTCTGACCCTGAGATAAGGGAAGTGCTCCTGCGATCGTCGCTTTGCCACGTCCTCCTCCGCCTGGTGCGTCTTTCCGGCCGTCACCATTCGGCCTTTCACCCAGCGCGTCTGTTTGGTCAGTTTTGTTTTGGCTTTGCTCTGGGCCCCTGGGGCCTCAGTTCAGTTTCGGAACTTCCTACACCCGTCTCAGCACGGCCACTTCATCATGTTCACCATTTCAAGGCCTTCCTCTACATGATCTTCGGCTCCGTTTCGCTGAGTCGCGATTTTGCCGCGTGCGCCACTTCACTTGGGCTACCCCTGCCGCCCTGGTATCGCTCGTGGCCCACTCCATCCATCTCGGCGTCCTGGGATTAAAAGATGGACAGGTTTGTTTGGTCGGCGGCGTCTCGGATCCGAGTTGCGGGCTGGCTACGCCGGGGCACAGAGGCATCAGAACATGCGGAAGACTGGAGGACAGGAGGAAAGACTGCGCGCGGCACGGACGGCCCTCAGAGCGCGAAACTCGTCGGGGCATGCCGAAGCAGGAAGGACAAATTGTAAGTATTAACGCGCGCGCATATCTATAAATGCTCTGCCTCCGCCGATTCTCGGCGGCCTGGGCCTGTTCCCCCCTTCCTCCGCGGCCGTTCTATGTCATATGCTGCTCCACCCGCTCTACTGCACCCAGTGCCTGGCGCGGCCTGTCGGCTCTGCAATCGCGCTCGCGTCTGCCAACGCTGCAATTCCTTCTTTTTTAATATTGTTCATATCTAATATTTAAGAATTATATATATATATATATATATATATAAAAACAGCACAAACAAAAAGAAAACAAAAAAAAAAAAAAAAAAAAAAAAAAAAACGAACCAAAAAAAACAAAAACAAAAAATACACACACACACACACACACACACAAAAAAAAAACATACAAAAATCACGATATTCACAAAACATGCCCTCGACCTTTGCCTGCGCGCAGGCAGCCCAGGCCGCTCGCCGCTGGCCCGTCTGGACCCGGGCCGCCACCGCCCGCGGGCCGGCGGGGCGCGCCGACGAGGCGCACCGTCGCCCTTGGCGGCCGGCGCGCTCTCCGCGGCGCCGGCCGCGGCGGGAAGGGGGGAGGGAGGGAGGGAGGGGGGAGGGGGGGAGGAGGGAGGGAGGGAGGGAGGGGGGAGGGGAGGGAGGGGGAGGGAGGAGGGAGGGGGAGGGGGGGAGGGAGGAGGGAGGGGGGGGATGGAGGGGGAGGTCTCCGAGAGCCCGGCGGTGGCGTTTTCTTTCGCAGCGGGCATTTTTTCGCGCGGCTCTGGGCCTCAGGGCCCATCTTACAGATCGATCCGTCCCGAAAGTGGCGCTGGATGCTGGGGTCCAGGGCTCGGGTCGTGATTGTTCGCGATGCCGCGCCATTTTCCGCAACAGCGATCTGAAGGGCTGGCGACTGGTAAGAAGAGTCCGAGTCTGCCTCGCTTTGCCCTCTCACAGAGCGATGGCAGGCGGCCGCACGCTCGCAAGAGTGAGGCCCCACCTCTACCCCCCCTCCCCCTAGGATCTTACCGGCAAAGTTGTATTGCAGAGCACTGAGACTTGAGTTTCGGCGCTCCGGCGTTTCCGCTGTGCTCTTCGGGGCCGCGCTCCGGCGCGAATTGCAGCGCCCGTCAGTCAGTCCGTAACGCTGCTGCTGCTGCTGCTGCTGCTGCTGCTGCTTCTGCTGCTGCTGCTGCTGCTGCTGCTGCTGCTGCTGCTGCTGCTGCTGCTGCTGCTGCTGCTACCCTCCATTTCGCTACACTGTCGGCGTCTTGCCTACTAGAGGCACTCTAAGGACTCAGGGGGCCCACAACAGTGCTAGGATCGGATCGAGTCGGCAGAAGAAAGCATTAGGCTCCGCAGCGCCGCCTGGGGCCCCCCCAGGGGGGGGGGGGGGGCTGGCCGCAAGGGTGGAGCTTGGAGCTCCAAAACAGGAAGGGCAGTATTTATATAGCGCCTTGCCTTGCGGACACAAGCCACCAAGGCCCCAGTCATCCACCTTGGAGGAGGGAGGGGCAGGAGGAGGGAGAAGGGACTGGAGACTCCCGTGGAGGAGGAGGGAGGAGGAGGAGGAGGAGGAGGTGTTAGGGTTTTTTTGTGGTGATCGTGGGGTTCTGGGGAGATTGTGTCCAGCGACGCTGGCATCTGGATCCGCTAGCCTCTCGAGCATTGTGCGCGTTGACGAGCGGATGTGCGCGACTGGCTTGCGCAAGGATGAGCGTATTGGATAGGTACTTGCTCCAACGATCCCATGCCATTGAGTTGCGCGAAACAGGTCTAGGTTGTGGAGCAGGAAATAGAGGAGGGAGAAGAAGAGAGGAGTAATGAGGGAGGAGTGTAGGAAAGGGGACCCACACTGCCCGCACATCCAGACCCGCCCGCTGGATGGTTCCGTGAAGTTTGCCCAGGTATGCGGCATACCGCGGGACTGCATAATACGCAGGAGCTGGTACCTGGTATGTGAAATAATATAGTACTGGTGGATTCGGCCAAAGAGGGTGCGCCACATTAAACAAAAACATTGCACGTAGGCGGGCGGGTGGGCAGGTAGAAAGGTGGGAAAAATGGTAGGTAAGTAGATAGGTAGGCATAGAGAGATGAGTGAAGGGATGCTTGGATGGATGGAGGGAGGGAGGGGAGGAGTATATGTGTACAAAACGAAAACCCAGTCCGTGATTGCACGAAGGGTTTCTTGCTTGTGTGTTTAATGGCTGGTCCTGCGCGCCCAGGTCGGGTCGTTCTGGCCATGGAGTTCCCGTCAATGGAGTCCCACACACATGGCCTCGTGCGACGGGGTTGGGCCATTCCCGCAATTGGTATACACACGTGAGCCCACACGCGTGGGATTTGCCCGGCCGCTGCTGTTGGTGTCCATCCTTCGTAGCTCCAGGCAGCAGCCGCGGACGAGCATAGGGCACTGACTACACCTCGCCCAGTAGCGTGAGTGGGTCCACGGTTGCTGCTGTTGTGGAGCGTCCTCTTGAAAGCAAGCGTTCCTTTCCCGCCGCGTGATATCGTAAGCTGGTCGTACAAATCCCACTCGCGAGTCAACAGTAGGCCAAATATGTTGTCAATACCAGCATCTGGAAGACTCGCCCAAAGGTATTTGCGGGTTGACGATCATCACGGATTGGGGTAAAGGACTGATAGGATCGCGACATGCCCTGAATTGGCGTGCGTAGTTGTAAATAGCCAGGACGTGTTGTCGAGCATGTTGTGATCGCGCAGACTCGCTGTGTGTACCCAGCGGGCCGAGTTAGGAATGAAGATAAGCGGCGGTCTTCACTGCACATGTCGCCGCGCCGTTTGTTACGACTCACGGCCTTCTGTCTTGGAGAGGGCGCCGCGGCCACCAGGGCAAACTCCGCCTCGGACGCAGGGCTTGCTGTGGGGTTCGCCGCGGCGCTGGCTGCATCTCCTTCGGCACGGGACGCAGGGTTTGCTGTGGGTTTGCCGTGGTGTCGGCGTCGTCAACCTGGGCGCGTTGAAGACAAACGGCGCAGCGCCCATCATGCCTTGGCAGCAGCCACACGCAATTCTCACCCCTCCATATCTGAAGGCAGCTAGCAGCTCGGGGCTGCGGTCGGTGTGCGGGGCCATGGCTGGAGGGTGAAGCAGGCCCGTGCCGATGGACCCCGCGGCAGGGAGGGGCCTCGGTGTCGCGCCAAGAGTTCCACCGCCTGCCGTGTCATGACTGAGCCGAACCTCAATCCCGTAATCGCGATGGCCGAGAGTTTTGGAGAGGCAAAATCATTGAATTTCCATAGGCTTGCAATTGTTTGGGGGTTCTCGTCAAAACGACCCAAGTCCAATACGGCCCAAGAGATGCCACAGAATGCCCATTAGTCCCCCAAGACGGCCACAGTTGATTCTTAGCAGATTGACATCGTGCTCAAAAACACATCCTTGCACGCTGGGCACCACGAAGGCCAGGCTGCTCGCCGACAGGTCGGTCTCCGCGGGGGAGGCCAATCAGGATCTTCAATGTTTTTTTCTCGGAGTCGTGCTTCCGTCGGGCAGGTATCGTGGATCGTGTGCCAACGTCGCACAAGTGTGAAGATGCCCATCCGACCGGTGGAGTCACTGAGTTATTTGTCAGCATCACGAGTGCTTTGCTGCGCAGCTTTGCTTGCAGGTGTGGAGCCGCGTCCGAAGCCCAGACCAGGCACGTCTCTCGACCGTCGGCGGAGGCGTGTCGGCCTTGGTGTGTCCCCCAGGTCCGACCGCGCCGAGGTCGGAGACATCCGACGAGTCTGGTGCGCGCGTCTCCAGACTTCGCTGATACAGTTGGTGCGCTGGTACCACGCGCGAGTGGGAAATGCGCAGAGTTGCACAGATGTGAAACTTGGACTCGGAGCCACAGTGGGAAAGCAGTGTCGACGAACGACGGCTCCCTTCGTGGGGGAAGGGGTCACGCAAGCGCAGACCAGAGTTCAGAAGGACAGGGAAGCTGTACATCTGGTAACTGGCCCGCGCCGCCTGGGTGCAATACTCTCATCCCATGTGGCTGCTGCAAAGATCAGAGCAGGCCGCTGTTTTGTTCGAAGGCTGCCGCCAAGAGCCAGCGGCATGAGAGGAAGCCACTTGCGCATGCGGCCTCGAGCGAGCGTACGCATTCCTGCCAGATGCACAGAATTCTGTTGCAAGGGCGTCGCCTGACTGCGGCAGCGCTGGTCCACAATGCTCCGAGTGCGTTTCTCGCCCAGGCCTGACGAGAGATGGGTCGGCCCAGTGGCACTGCAAGGTGGGCAGTCCCACATGGTCTGTGGTGAATCGAGTTATGCACGCAACTGAGCGCCAGCATGTAGATCTGTCTCCATCCTTCGGCGTATTGTCCAGCGGTGTCCAGTATGGGTCTGTGTAAGCGTGTAAGCGTGTCCAGTCCATGGTCGGATAGGCAAGGCGTTATACCAAAGCCCATTGATATATGCATTTATCAGGATTGCCGCGGAGTCCTCGCGGCCTCCACATCGCCTTGTCGTTGCTTCGGCATCGGTGGAAGAACGAAACAATGATCCTCGTAGGAAGATGAATCATCAGTGTGGCGAGCGTGGAAAAGTACCGATATGGCATTATCTTCGGCGGCTTTTGACAAGCGCCCGAAAGTAGATGTCATACCCTGCCCAGGTGAGCGTCCCCACACCATTGAGGTGGTAACCGTGGGCAGATGGGACAGCCCGCACCTCCCATTGCGCTGGCAACTCAGCGGTTGCATACGCAGTGTGCCTTGGTCCAGGGCTCGAGTGACTGTCCATCCCAATGTGCCAGTGTTCTTGTTGGCACACGAAGTTGCGCACAATGAACCAAAGGCTTGCACAAGGCGCAGGTGGCCCCTCTCATCGTCGGAAGGTTGTCTTATACAACCGATGCGTGTTGTTGGATGTCGCAGGGTGGTTTCAAAAGTCCTTGCTTTGTTGGTGTCAGGTGGGGCGCCGAGTGGTCGCTGGACTCTCCGAAGTGCATTGTCTCCGTCTGCGTAGTCCCGTGTCCAGATTCGAAGCGAGTTGTGCCCTCGCACGGGCGGGGAGAAGTTCATCATGCTGCGATGCAAGAGCACTCGCGGAGCCATGGAAAATAGATTCTGCGACCAGGTGACACAGCGCGCGGCAGTAGCCGGCGCGCCGAGGGCCTGTCGTGGCGGTCGTCTTCACCGCCCCTGGCGAGAAGAGGATGAGTGCCTCTCTCCATAGCCTGAGCAGTGGGCTGCGTGCGTGCCGGAGCAGGCTGGCACTGTGATCGCGCAGTCTTCGTACTTCTGGAAGCGCAGGGCAACTACCCTCAGTCGGCGCTTGTTCGAGAGCAGCGCTTCTGAGGATGTGATTCATATGATCGTTGCCAGCTGGGCATCCGAGCTGGGGATTGGTCTGACGCCGAAAGACGACACCGCCCGGCGTGGCGCGAGTAGACGAGCGGGACCACTGCAGCCATGCAACCTTCGCCAGGGCGCCGTCGGCTGGTCGTGGAGGGAGGCTGGTCTGACCGCGATAGTGGGGCAGTTGCTCGGCAACTGGGCCGCGTGCGTGGCGCTGTGTTTGGAGTTCGTGAGAGGCCATGCGCAGCGTACAAATCGTTGATCGCTTTGACGGCTTCAGGGAATGATGTTCGTTTGGACCGCCTTTTGGGCATCGGGCTCGTTCCACTTATGGTGCTGCTGGTTGAACGCCATGCGACCTGCAGCGCCGCCAGTCCGGGGGAGCGGGCGCCGCCCCTCTGCAGAGGCCGCATCCTGGAAGCCGCGCACGCGTTTGGTCGGTGGGGCAAGTATGTTGCCACACGTCAACGACGTTGGTCCGCGCGTCGGCGATCGAGGCAGATAGTGGACAGCTTGAGCCCGCAGATGGTGTCGGGGGGAATTCTTGACGCTTCGAGTGCCCCCACCAGCCATGCTCGTTCCTGGCGGGCTCACGACGCTCGACGGCTGCTTCTGGTGCGCGCAGGATGCACGGCACACACTGGCTCCTGGCGCTGGGCTTGCACCTTGTAAACGACGTGCTCCTGGTGGTTTTGGGCTCGATCCCGCGCCTCTGAGCGGCTTTGCCTCTTTCTTCTTCCCCCCCCTTTCGTCGCCGTCTCGGCGACTCCTCGTCCTCCCCCGCGTCGCGAGCGGTGCCGCGGTGTGTCGCCTGACCATTTTTCGCTTCCGAGCGCCACTTGCGCTCGGTTTCGGCCCCGTCATTTTTCCGCGTTCGCCCGCTGTCGCGCGGTTTCCCCGCGCGCGTAGGCCGGTCTCGCGTTTGACTCTTTGACGCCGCGCGGCTGCCCGCTTGCGGTCGCGAACACCAGCCCATCCAGAAACGATGCCCAGGCGAGCTGTCGGGAGAAGGGACATAGAGAGGCACCTGGTGAGATAAAGTGGGCGCTGGTCGTGGATTTGAGGTCTCTCGAAGGCGTCTCGTAGCCATCTTGGTGCTCTGTTGGGGCAATTCGGGGAGCCGTTGGGGTCTCTTGGGTCTTTTTCGGGAGCCTTTCGGGCCCTTCCTGGGCCATTTTAGACGCACTCAAGCAGGACAGGGGGCGGCGCGGATTGTCCTCTGAAGCCCGAAGGATCTCCTTTAGAGCCCTCTTCCGCGCTCGGGGCCGTCTTGAAACTTTCTGGGCCCACATTGGGACTCTCTCGGGCGATCTCGGGGCCACCTTCAGGCCTCGGAGACCCTGCAGAAGCGAAAATACGAGAGGGAAACATCAATGATTGCCATGGCCTTTGGTCAGTGCCGCCGATCAGGGGCGCCGGGGATGATGATGATAATGATGATGATGATGATGACGATGATGATGATGATGGTGCTTATTCGTATGGTTATGATGACTATGATGATAACTCCCTACCTAGGCTCTACCTAAAAGGGTTCTTACTCTGTGAGCTTAAAGGGGCCGGGCAGTGGGGCTCGCCCCGGGCGGTTCCCCCAGGATCCGCCCCGCGGTTCCCCCAGTTACGTCCCCTTAGCTTAGCGTTCCTTATCTCATCTGAGCTTAGCTTATTTCATTTTAGCTTTGCCTAGCTTCATCTTAGCTCAGGTTTATCTTAGCTTAGCCTACCTTCATCTTAGCTTCGCTGAGCTGTAGCAGAGCACAGCATAGCGTAGCGTAGCGTAGCATAGCATAGCGCAGCATAGCATAGCATAGCACAGCACATAGAGCAGCAGAATTCCCTACCTAGGCTCTGCCTAGACGGCTAGCTTA